TTGAAATACCTATAATTCACAAAAATGATGATATATAGTAATTAGAACCAAAATAACAATAATTTTGTGTAGGACAAATTGGGATCAACGTATTTTTTTGGAGAAAACCTTGTTTAAAAATAGTCCCACAGTTTTCGCTCAAACCGCCGAAAGTCATATGGACAAGTATAAAATAGCCATAGAAACAGACGAGAAAGGCATAAATATGTTTAAAGGAAAATGAATCGTATAAAAAAATATAGTCTCAATTTATCAACACTAAAAAACAAATAAAATCTCTGAAACATGGACGTTGACGATGTTTTTATTTATAATCATTGCCCTTTGACCTTCGTACAGACGGGTCAAGTACGTGTCATGTGCACTATGAAAGTATTTCTAACCTTGATTTTCTAAGAAAATACTGATTCAGAATTGATCCCATTTTTTCCGAACAAAACTATTGTTACATTCGTTCTAATTGGTATATATTAACATTTGCGTGAATTATAGTACCAATCGTACGCGAATCGTACGTGATTCAAACCGCACGCTGTCTTCACACTCGTCTGTTCGGAAGTAAATCATGCATATTTCATTTCAATTAAACCGCACATTTTATTCAGATTTAGAGAGTAAAACGTGACTTGGCTGCGTTATAGTAACCGTTATGAATTGTGTAGTTGAATTTTGAATATGCAAATGAGTCATATGCAAATCCGCTTTGAGCTTGAACTTTCAAGCTCGAGCGGGCGGGGGGAGTAACTTCGTCGTAAACGAATAGATGAAATCATTTCAGAGATTACTTTGCAGAATAATCTTCAACAAGACTTGTAAACATTATATACAAATGTGCAGGTCCTGAAACTCTGTCCGTTGCAAACAAATTCAACTGACGACTAGTTTGGCGCTACTAGTTTCTTGCGGGGGGGGGGGTCTTGCCTACCACAGTCGCTACGCACTCGCGTAAAACGCGTCTGTAGGCCATCGACAGATCGATTTCACATAATCGTTTGATGGCGCACTTTAATGAAACCGGATATTGAAATTAGTGTGATTTTTACGTACAGTACCAGTGAGTTATCATTGAACAATTTAACAAGTTAACAACAAGTTAAACAGTACTTTATTTGCTCTTTATAACCATAATTATGAAAATCATCTTTAATTGCATCAATTACATTCTGAATTGTTATTTTTCATGCATGGACTTTTGAACATGATTGGGTCGTTTTGACCAATCAGATCACAAGTTTCATTATCTCTATTCGTTATCTCTATTCTCTGTAGAGGTTTTCAAAACGCACCGTGATTGGTCTTCACTATGTAAAGCTGTGAGATATCTTGAGAATACCATCGTTGTGGTATTTATTACCGCACACATATTACTAAAGTGTCAAAGGCTCCAATTTAAAAAAATCCCGACAATACAACTTTAGGAAAGTTCAATACAGTTGGATTTAGCGACACGACAGACATTGATGGGGTACAGTCCCCGCTAGTCGTCAAATAAGAGGTGTGCATAACGCCAATTTTGGGAAATTGCGTTTTATATCTCAGAAACTTTCAAAGATTTTATTGTGTGAATGATTAATTGCTTAGTCAATTATATGTGTTGGTTCACATGAATGAAAGGGGCAGATGTTATGTGTTTTGTAAACGTTTCAAAGATGTAGTTATTCATAAGTATATGTGGTGCCATCTTTAATAATCAAAACACTTATGTATTTGTGAAATTACGTACAATTAGATAAAAAAAGGGTGACAGGATATGCACGAAACTAACATTCTGATTAAGACCCATTTGTTAGATATCTCTCAGTTGTCTACAGAAATCATCTGCGTTACTACGGCAATCTAAAATCATAGATTTACTATTTTTGGTCGTTTCTCTTCTCCCGTGACAACAAAGATCCAACACCAGTTTTATAAATGATTGCAAATAACTATTTTATAGATTTCACAATTTGTAATTTAATTGTTCGTATTTTGAAGGTTTCCATGAGATTTCCGGTATTTCGATGATTACAATGTTTCCGACAATTCCACTTAACGCCTCCAAAGTGTTCTAAAGAGTGGGCAGTGTATGAAAACCTCTGTGTGCGTGTCAACTTATTATGTTGCCACGTGCTGTGGTAATCCATTTACTTGATGCAAGGTCGATAATAGCGTAGTTTGGTCACGGAATACTGTTTTTAAGGTCGAAGCTAACTCATGATTTCAAAAACCCAGAATGTATTCATTTTCCTATAAACTGTACTTTAAGCCAATATAAGAATACTGACTTTAAAAAAAAAGTGTCAAAAAAATGCAATTTGTCCTATGGAATTGATCTAAAAATAATAGAACAAGTTTCTCAAAATACGTCACTGTAACACACAAAAGAATGCTTTTTCATGGTGCCATGAGCCAATAGCTCCATGATTTTACATAAATAAAACAAATTGACCAATTTTCTCAAAAGCCTACTTATGAGTAGGCTTCTACCTTAACACTCATCTCTAACCGTGTTATATATTTTCGACGCAGTTGTTACTGCCACAAGCATTGCTGCCTACCGCCCTTAGTTAATTCGATAGAATAAAAATACGACGAGGAACTTATTGTTATAAACACGAATTTAAAAAAATGCAATCCTAATTGGTCATGTTTTACCTATTCATAATGTATAACCCCGAAATCCACTTTCAGTAATACCACGTTTATATAAAACAAAATTGGTCCGTTTTCTAAATTAGTCATCATTGACCTTGTACAACAATAAACAATTCAATGGCAAAATCTTTAAAAGGTAGACTTTAGTGAATTTATATTGATTAACCTCAATATCACCGTGACATCATTGCGAACACAGACACAAAAAAGTATTTATTTAAGTATTTATTAATATTTATTACACGAAATACTACCAATTAGTACAAAGGCAACAGTACATATGTACACACACATGAAATGAAAAAAAGTGACGTAACAGGAAATATATGAACAATGAAACACTAGTAGGTAACATAGCAATGTCCAATGATAGCCCTGCATTATATACCAAATTTACATTCAATGAAATGAATATCTTTATTCACATATAATCAGACGTATTTGTAATCATATTTTCCTGGTCCAAATAAAGTATATATAACAATCTTAAAGGGCGGTTGTCGACGCACTGTGTGCTGTTCGATATGGGACTCATAGCGACGTACACAACGCGTGTAAAATACATTGTTTATTTACATGGTATTCGAACACGCGCTGCGCGACGACCACGCGCTTTTAAGCTTATCATACTTAACCCGGATTGAGGAGATTGCTATAACGTCACCAAAAAAATGCAGTATAGTATATATTTTCATGTAAATCAGCATCCCCCCCCCCAATGCAGAGCACCGTCATTAGATACAATGGAAGATAGATTACTGATATGTAAACACAGTACTACTGTTGTTATCAGGTAAATATTTTGTTATTTCAGTTTAATTTATTGGCAAAAGTTGTTTTTGTTCTTTCTGTCCCCCTGTCTGAAAAAGGAAGCCAATAGCAAGTAATAACAATAAAAAAGCAGCGATTTTGCATGATTATATTTTTGTAAAACTCGAAATTACGCTCTACTGTATTTACACATTTGTATGTAATTTCGTTAAACTAAATACCTTTCCATGGTCCAAAGGTTGGTCGAATTATTTGAAATATCTATAAAGTGTCAATAGCTGTTATTCTGTACAAAGCAATAGGTGATTTTCCGTTCAACTGCGAGATCTCGCGAGATGCATGAAAGACGCGCGTCGAACGTCTGCCGCAAAAATCGAACGATTTGATTTTCAACTCGAATTTCTTTATTTCGTAGCTCACATCGACAGGCCGATCTTCGACAGAGGAATATTGCTTTCGAATACCCTCACTTAATCGAAATTGTCTATCATCAAATGTATACAGCACATTATTAAGCATGGAAATGCCCCCAAAATATTTTCGCGTTTATCGAATCCCACGCGATGTTTGACGCCACTACGACCTTTGTTTGTCCTGTTTTTACGTTCGATTTCACGCATAACGCGTGATTCTCGCAGTGTACGGAAAATGGACTATTAAAGATGATTATAACGTACGGATTGTTCTTATCAGCAAGTTATTTTCCCCCAACGGTTTTGATCGCACTTATTTAGTTACGGTATGTCTTAGAAGTTACTATAAAACAATTCGTGATCCTCCCCACCCCAACAGCAGTGCCTCGATTGCAACTAAGCAAAAACATAACACTTATGTCTGTCGTTATTTTTATTCTGTTAAGTCATTGGGCGAATTGCATTGTCATATCTTGAGGTATCCGAGGCAAATGCCGCTTTTACCCATCATGCAATGCGCGAAACACGGCGAACACGCGAGTTTCATTGGAGACACTGATGGTAACCAAATATTTGACCTCTATAACGAGCCGACTGTATATTTCATAAAAGTTAATCACGTTAGTTGTGTCAACATTCACGATGACATCACGTATCAATGCAACATTTTCTAAATGTCAATCATAGTTAACTTCGTGTTTATATTGCCCGTTTTATGTATATACAAAATATCGTCCATTGATTAGGCAAGTTCGGTTGGGCCAATGAGAAGCTACTCACAAGTACCTGAATTGGCTACCCAACCTTAACACCTGGCAGTCAGGCCAATCAGAGAGCAGCTAGTTTGTCGATACGGTTTTGTTCTCAATGCATCAATTTCTGCCTTGTATATATGTTTCGACTTGACTGTTTCGTTAACGTGATAAGTTTTGTGTTTTGAATTTTACAAACAAACAAACATTACAAAACAGCTTTGTTTTTGCTTGTGATTAACCAATGGTCAATTCTGTATGTATGTATGTATATATATATATATGTAATCGAATATACACAAATACAAAAATAAAAGTTGACCACACGAGGTTTCTGTATTAAGGTCACTGTCATGTTGGTGATTTAATCAACGACAATGTCAACTCGTGAAATGTGGGCGCTGAAGTACCTTGAAAAAATGCACTCATGTTACAAAACTTTCACAAGTTTACTTCTGTAAAATATGCGTTTATGTACAAAATCAAGTAAATTCAAAAGGAAATTCCAACAACAAAATAAGTTTAGCATGGCGGTGACGGCGTAGTGCATGTGGCAAATGGGAAAACACTACCCTGGCAGCTTAGGTGAAGAAAATGACTTTCGGTAAAAAATGGGGAAAAAATAAAACACGTACATTCCACATTTCCTAGCGTGTTGTCATACGAAGTCAAAATCACCTAATTTGGAAATCGAACATTGGTGACAACAAGATAGTTCGATATTTCAAGTTCAACAATGAAACTCATAGTCTGAACTGCGTAACGTTTACAAAATAACCAAAAATAAACTACAGTTTATATCAGGTGAAAACCATGACAACCGGTTCACGAGTAACCTAACTGTTATAAACTCCGATGTAAACGAGCAATATCTATTCGTCGTTAATGACAATAAATAATAGGACAGATTACGTCTAAAACATTTAAAATAAATAAAATAAAATGTTAATTGTCTTTGCATTGCCAATGATAGTTTGACGTCTTACTGCGATGTGAACAACGAATGGGTTTACACTACGCGATACATGCGTGCATTGTATACTGACGTACAGTGTTTAGTAAGTTTGTATTGATTTCAATTCATTTGGCATGGCATGATTTCCAAAAAAAGATATGCATAAAATCTAAACGTATCCAAATGTGAATTGCGTCTAATTTTGCGTTGTTATTATGAACACTGAGGGCGATATAAGCACAAATTGGAGCATGACGCTGACGATAGGCAGCGCTAACACCTTTCATCTAACACTCTGCATGTCCTGCAGAATTCAAGCAGTTTTTTAAACAAAGTCTCGTTCAAACAACTACACATGCGATTCACTCAAGTCTTTTGATGCTTTTAAGTCTTCAATGACGAATTCGTCTAGTGAGCTGGCAATCTTATAGTTGCCTTTCATGTCTCCTCTCGATATCGATATGCTTCCACTTTCCATCTTTAAGTTATCCGGTTCTTCTTCGTCAACGGCTTCCTTGTCATTTATCTTTTCTTTACTTGGTTTAGGTTCACGTGGAACGAGTGATATCTTTATTTTATATTTGGATAATACACGCTTGTGCAGTACGGCTATAGGAACGGTTACCAATACGAATAATGACTGAACAAGGGTGTAGATAGAAGGGAATACTTTCACCATGGGACCAGCATCGCGGAAGGATAAAGCCATGACGGTTAGAGCGACGGCGACGTTCTGCATACCCGTTTCGATGCCAATGGTGCGACGCTGGCGGACTGGTAGTTTGCAAATCTTGGCGAACAGGTAGCTGAAACTGTACCCGATGATTGGCATGAAGAAGGCGGCAGACCACAGTTGCCATGGTGACCGATATGGCGCGGTGCTCATCATCCCTTGGATAATCAAACTGATGACAATGCCAACAAGACCAAGAATACCACCAATCTGTGATAAAAAAAAATAATATTAATACTGAATCATATCAATTAGCGATTTTCCTATCACCACCATATTTAATTAAGGTAGAATGCTACTTGTGAATATGTTTATATGTACGCATATGTTAATGCATACAGCAGTGACAATATGTGATGATGAAATCTTTCTATAATTAATCGTTTTAGTCTCGGTCAATAAAATAACAGGCATAAAATGGAATTGTATTATCTCCGAACTGAGTACGATGACCCCATGTTTTTATTTCATTTTCTCAATCCTTTATTATTAAATATGTAAAAATAAAGAAAATGACAATATTTTTACTTTCATGTAGCATGAAAACAGTGTCATACTATCAAAACGATCGTTTGGTGTGCGTTTTTTTGTTGTTGTAGTTTTGTTCATAGACCAAGAAAGTGGAGGAATGAAATTTGTGTACCAACAACAATTAATTTTCCAATCAGTGTGATTCCCGTCAAAGTTCAAGCACGAGTTAATTACGTTATCCTTACCCTGCTAACAAGTCCGGCTTTCTTCTCCCATTTATGACGAATAAAGACTCCAACAACGACTGGGAGGATAATAGAAACCAATGCGATGATGATGTCCATGTATGGGATGGATGGTACGCCATCTTGGTTGGCCCAACTACGACTGTATATGAACAGACACAGCGGCATCATGCCGAACGCCACGAACGTCGAAACAGTTGTCATGCATATACTGTGTGAAAAAAAACGCAAATTAACAACAGATTCACTTATATGTAAGGTTGCATACGCACAAGAAATACTGTAAAACCATTTATAGTCACTGACATTTAATTTCATTTTTTGAGTGTTTTGAGCAATTTCACTAGGTTTTAGTTTCACGAATTTGGCAGGAAAACAATGAGTTCTATTGTTATTGTCCATGTTCACGGGGATTTAATTTAGCAAATATCACTTATCAATGAAAATATCGAACTTAAAAACAAGCCAAAATTAATGCATTTACAGGAAACATGTCGTGACTGTTAGGTGTAAATAGGTTTAACGTGTATTATTCAACAATATGGATTTTCAAATAAAAAATGTAATAATTACGCGACGAAATATTGGGGAATCGGAAAGGTATTATCACGAGAGATGATTTTCCAAGTTGGGGGAGCGGCAGAATCACCGAATCAGTGCGTTAAGTCGATTCATTGGAAAATGATTACGTAAAATAAACACGATACGTCTCTTTAATCTGTGAAAGATAATTTTTCGGACTAATGCACATTTAGTCTAATGACCTTTCGGACTTATGAACCTTCAGACTATTTTATCTTTGGGCTGATGGACCTTGAGATTAAAGGGGCATCCCTGTAATTTAATTATACACTAATACACAAATTCTAGGTCGCAATATAATAAGTATCATTAAACAGACAAATTAGGTTAATATTAATAACATATGTTACACTTGTTTTTACAAATCGCAAATACTGAGGTCACGGTGAAACGCCACGTTGGCGAACAGCCACGCCCCCGCATTGATCACATTTCAAAACAGCGGGGCTTAATCCACGTCATTGCTAACAAGGAAATAAACAACTATCCTGCATAGCTCACGTACGCCACACTATGTACGTCGTGAGCGCCAAAAAGATGATGCAATCGTGTTTTCTCTGAAAGCTGTGACCGATAACTAACCCGGATGACGTGAAGACTGAGTATTGAATTCGATTCAGGATTTGATGCCTTGTTCTGATACTATTATTTGAAAACAAATCGGCCACATGGTGATAACATATTGCCAAGCGTCATTTTCACATTTCAGATAAGAGGTCACGCAGTATATAATAGAAATATTTATCTCGATGTATCTCGAGTGATTTATTATAGTTCATAGAGTTCTGTAACGTCACTCCGATGTGCGGACGTGTTGTCTCGTTTTCTTACAGGGTTATGCGTTGATAAAATAAATAAAAACATATGGAAATTATGTTTTATTGAAATATAGAATAAAAATAAATGCCCGTACATATAATCCTAGAATACTTTCTCATAAACAACCGCAGGGGCAATGCTCGAAACGTCCAGCAAAGGACAACGGTTACCAAATATTGCCCTACTTGATACGTCTGATTCAATTGTACATCGACCTTCGATACACGACGGTTACATTGAACGTGGTATTGCTACTAACGTTAAACATGTCTGCTATGTGGATATCGAATTCCAGTGCACATGGGCATGGCGATATGCGAGTTATAATTGCGACGAGACTGGCTGTACGTGTCCCCAGCGACTAAACATTGTACTCTGTACGAGTAGGTGCCGATGAAATCGCGACAAGTTCCTGGAAACTTAAGACATATATAGGATAAGTAAAAATAGAAAATGGTCGTCGTTTTGGAGGTTAACCGAGTCGCTGTGGGGGAAATGAAATGTATTTTTATTTGAAAAGAGGCTTATTCTGTATTACAGAACTGAAACTATGACAAAACACGTTATACTGTGTGATTCTGTCTACGTGCACTCATGTTTAAGCCACAATTAGGATAATGCTACACAATGAAAAGTTAGACACATTGTGACAAAAATAAACTCTAGTTGAACTACATGTATTTATTTATTTTCTTCTCTTTATTTAATACTTTCCTACGAAGCATATCTGCGTTTGAAAGCTTTCCAAGTGAAATGATTGGGTCACCCACGGCGTCATCAGTGGCTAACAAACTGAACATAGTTCGGTTGCCAAACAGTAAACACACCCCAACGTGGCGACGCGGACATAGTGGTTTTATTGCCAGCCAACAGTAGTTATTACTGACACAGTCACGCCAGATCTGACCTTTAGAATACGTTCGACCATTGGACAAACTGTACCACGGCGCACATTAAAAGAGAAATTGTATAATAGGCGTTTTTTTTTCAAAAGGTCTTTGTTCTCATACTGTAGTCTTTTTATACTAAGTTCCCGCGCACGTGTTAGTACCGGTTGAGTTGTCTGAGGTTGTAACAATCAGGTTTTACCGATGTAACGGGAATTGAATTTCGTATAAAACGTCCCATATTCGCGGAAATCTAAGAAATATTTTGTGTTAAATACAATGGCACACTACAAATAAAATAGAAATTGAAAAAAAGAGAAAATTGCGTCGATGAATAACATCCGTCTACACACAAGGAAAGTCTGAAGTGCCTGTTTTTAGTCTAAGTTCGTTGATGCATGTAATCGTAGGTCAATGTTCGATACTGTCCAAGGCTACTAATAGTAAGTAAGGAAGTTACTAAGAGTGACTTCGAAGAAAATGTGAAAGCTAAAGTTAGAGACTTTAGAGAGCTACGTGGTAAAAATTAACTAGTATAATGTCAGCATTTGGGGTCATAATGTAGAGCCACACAGACGCATAAATTATGAAAATGAACGTTGTTATAGTGATGAATACGGAGTTATTGAAATAAAGCTCTTCACGTGATGGTTGAGTTGGGAAACTTCCTTCACCTCGTTCGCAAGCAAATAGTTCATATATAAAAAATAGCTTATAATGATTTCAAATACAATACCACTATTTTTATTAGTATGTACCATGTTATGAATACTCACTGTATTAAGCATTGTTGAATAATGCCAAAAAAAAAAACAATAATTTTCGCTAAACAAGAAAAAAGACGTGTCATTGGCAACACAACACATAGTCGTATAAATTACTCTTGTTGACGTTATAAATGTGTGAATAAATGCAGTGCACAGGTGTGAAAACAAATTAGTGACACCCAGTGAACGTGAAAATGCTGCAATATTGGCAATGATCCAGAAAATAGGATTGGAACGAGGCGCGCCTTTTCCATCAGCTCATTCATAAAAAGCTCGAGGTCGCGTGTGGAAGTTTCCATCATGAGAACACGCTGATGTACGTTCAGCATAAGCAATAAACACATTCCCGTACCTCAAATAAATCATCATATTTTAACACCTGCTAGGGCGATTTTAATGAAAATTGGCGACAGTTATCACATATAAACTAGTGTTCATTTTCTAGAAACGTTTTTTTTCTATGTATAAAATTGGAGAAAATATCGTAATTTTAAAATTACCAAGGTTTGATTGAGAGCTAACGGAGCAGACTAAGCTATGGAAAATACCACTATATTGTAATGCAAATTAAGGTCACCTTTTGTTTGTACGGGTAAGAACACGTCGGTAATGGATTTTTGGACACGAGAAAAACCATAGTAACCTTAAAAATTGTAATCGCGTTACATTTCAGGTCGCCAAGAATAAAAAATTCAGTCTATTTTAGGTCATTTGGGATAATTTCAGTCGCGGTATAGGACTTAAAATTAAAACGTTACCAACCTAAGTGAGACATCTCCCTCGATCCAGTAAGTTAACAAATTCGATGCCAGACCACCGGGGCTACAGGCCACAACTAACATGCCGATAGCATATGCGGGATTGAGGCTAAGTAAGTGAGCTAGTGCGAAGGAAACGAGTGGTAGAATGCCGTACTGGCAGAAAATGCCGATCAATACACCCCACGGTCGCCGCGTATGGCACCAAAGTTCCTTGAAAGTAATGGCACAGCCCATTCCAACCATCATCGAAAGCGAGATAATGGTCAACAATATCTGATTTGCCAGTCGGAGTCCCGCAACTCGATCTGACATCACCTCGGCTCCACCGCTTTCATCGTCCGTACCGTTCATCGTGATGTTCAACGAAAATATTGTCGCCTCAGTCATCCCGGAGAAGTCATTGCTCAAAGTCTTCGTTGTGTCATTCATCGTCGATTTTGCTGTGTCTATCTTTGTATGCTCCTGGAATTAACGAAGCAGTGTACCTCACTCTCCCACGATCGGAATACCTACTGAATGACGGTGATATGCAAATCGGGGGTATCCCTATGACATCAGACCATTTGCATATACGGATCGACGTGTCCAAAAAGAGGCCTCTAAAAACAATGACGTCACGCGATTCTCGCTCTATTATCCATACTTGGCAGACTCTATTTTTTTTATATTTGTACAAACTGAGGGCGCGAAATTTGACTGGGCCTCTGCTTATATGTGCACGCAGGGAGTTTATTTATTTATGTCATCTTTATTAATTCAATAATTTCGTTTTTCCTGATTATTATTCCGATAACAAAAGATTGCTCTGACCAGATTTGCCGTACCAAACTACGCATGATTTAGTATAGGACGTGGAAATGATTGTTAACAAAATCAGAATAAATTGACGAAAATCGCGCAAGAAAGAAAATCTGCTCAGACAACAGCAGACAACAGTTCTGTGTTTTATCAGACTGTATTCGATCTGATTAAGTCGGCCGATTTAAAAAAGAAATCTGTCTAGGCAGCTGATTTTTCGGTGCATACGATTCAATTTATCTAAGTGGCTAAACCGAGCCGTGTAAACAGACCTTCGTCCTATATGATAAGTGTATCACACGTAATCCTCGCTACTGCTACACGTGACCTTTGACCGCATTATACACCGTGACCTATATAAGTAGGAGGATCACTGCAACCAAACGTAA